CTTTTAAGGTCAAACAAACAGAAAAGAGTACCTGGCCCTAACTACCTCACAGAATTAGCTTACCCTGAAGAAGAAATAAGAAATCCTGTATTGAAATGAATGATCACTAGGCTTTATCCCTGTAATAAGACAGCTAACTTTTGAAGAGTGCTTTACCTTCCATTCAGTTTTCTTTAAAAAAGAGTATAAAGTGAATGAGAAAACCTGGATTCTATGATGGTGATGAAACCTGAATGATAAGTTTTTTTTACCCTAATGATTCCATACATGTCACCACTCAAATGCAATCCCATCAAACGTACAGACACCTTCAGAAAAATGAAGACACAGATGTCTATTAACAAGAATAGAGGTTCAGGATCGAGTGCAAACAGCAAGGTACCAAACTTGAAATACTGTATGAGTCCTTTTTTATGAAATTTAAATATACACATAATTTTTACATATGTATACATGGGAGGAGTCTGGAACCCTCACCTTGGACAGTGGGATTGGGGGTGACTGGTTCGGTTTTGTTGCTTATCTTTATTTCCTATTGTTTTACTTTAACTGAATATGCTTATCTTATGCAATGAAGTAACAACATGTATGTACGTTATAACTTTGTACACATGAAGGGGGGTCCACTTCACTCATCAGAGAGAATCGCTTATGTGGAACTCCGTATCCCCCAAGGACAATGCTAGCGAGCAGAGCAAGAGTTCTCCTTGTGTAATTCTGTAAAATGAGACCTGACAGACGGGGCGGGGGGTGGGGTGGGTAGCAAAGTACACAAAGTCTGTGTTAAAGAAAAACCACCGGGAATATCATTAGGTTCTTAAAATTCATTATCCAAACCAAAAAGAATATTTCCTTCCTACTAAAGTGGGTAACAATCCCAGATAAGCCATGTGATTAACGAGACAGTCTAGAAATCTGGATCTGACCCCCAAACAAGTTCCAATCTGGTAGTTGATCTTGCCAGCCTCACGAGTCTCTTCAGAAAAGACAATGTAGCTCAGGGATGCAGAGAACCACACTATGAGTTCTGAGACAGTTAAGAAATCCTCAGGGAAATAAATCATGGCTTACCTGAAAGCACCGGGCTCCTGCAGGATCTGATCCTGACTCCCTCTACCACCTGAACGCCTAGCACTCTCCCTCAGCGGCAACCAACTTGGCCTCCTGACCTTTCCCTAACCTGTTGTACCTGCTCCCATCTCAGGGCCTTAGCACTTTCTGCTCTAGCCCTTTGGAATGTCCTTCATCCGCCAGGTAATTACACAGGCTAACCTCTTACTTCCTCAGCTCTCTGCTCAGGCGCACCCTATTAGAGAGCTGCTCCCTGATTCCAGATCCCCTCCCGAGTACTCCTCTATCCCCTTTACACTGTTTTGTTGTCATTTTACTGTGGTGAAACACACAAACACAAGATAAAATGGGCCATTTTAATCATTTTTCAGTGTAAAACTCATTGGCATTAACTTCATTCACAGAGTTGAGCTACCAACACTACCATCCCTTTCCAGAATTCTTTCATCTTCCCCAGATAAAACTCTGTACCCATTAAACAAACTCCGCATTGCCCCGGCCCCTGGCAAGCACCATTCTACTTGTCCTCTCTAGGTATGGCTTATTTCACTTAGCATCATGTTTCCAACCTTCACCCGTCTTATAACGTGGATAACAATTCCATTCCTTTTTAAGGCTGAATAATATTCTTTTATATGGACATACCACTTTTTGTTTATCCATTCATCTGTCAGTGGACACTTGGGTTGTTTCCACCTTTTGGCTACTATAAATAATGCTGCTTATGAACATGAATGTAAAAATATCAGTTGAGACCCTGCTTTCAATTCTTTTGGTTATATACCCAGAAGTGGAATTGCTGGATCATTTGGTAATTTTGTTTAGTTTTTTGAGGAACTGCCATATTGTCTTCTGCAGTGACTGCACCATTTTACATTCCCACCAACAGGACACAAGAATTCCACTTTCTCCAGATCCTCACCAACATTTGTTATTGCCTGTTCCCCTTTACTTGGATTTCTTTTTATCTGTAGCACTTGCTACCTGTTATACAATAATATTTGCTTATTTGTAATGCCTACTTCCCCCCAACTGGGAATTAAGCCTCTTGGGAACGGGACTTTCATTGTTGTATGCCCAGCACTTAGAACATACCCCAGCACATAGTAGGTGCTCAAGTAATTGTTGAAGGAATAAACACTTGGATAATAACAACTTTAGCAGGTATTAGACATTCATAAAGAGATTTATCATACCAAATGCCTTAAACTGTGTGCAGATGAGGGAAGACATAGGCATAGTTCAATAGGAGGAATAGCTCCACAAGTGATGGTTTTAGTGGTGTTTTCAGCTCATGCTCATTAGCAATAAACTCAGAACCAGAGACACTATAAAAATTGGTCAGAATCATAAAAATTATGTCATTCATGTCACTGACTTCAAGCCTTAACTGATTTCATCCAAAGAGCGTGCAAAAGCTTAAAACAGCAAAAGTAAACTAAAAAATTGCATGCATTTCCAGTTAATAAAAACAAAGCAAATGCAATGTGTTTTATTTTAAAAGATCAAACCAACAGTAAACAAGATGGGACATTGGCCTTGTGTAAACTCCTTAATTAGATGTATCCAAGGACAGCTTGACCTAGAAACCTAACTTCAGCCCTATTTTTGTTGTTGTTTTCTGTTGTTCATATTTGGTGTTTGTTGTTTCATTTTGGTTATTTAACAGCTGCTTGTCAAGAAATCAGAATTTCCATGAGTTCATTATAAATGAGCTAAAAAGCCATGCAACTTTTTTTGTCTAGAAGTCAGCTAGTTGTATACCATTGGATTAGAAGTTTCATTTCTATCTCTAAACCCTGGTCTTCCCTACTTGAAAATATTTTGAGGACAAAGGCAAGAGATTTATCTTGTTGGGTACATCTTCCCTTTCTTCTAAGCAACCATTCCATCTCTCATTCCTAAAGATGCCAATTCCCTCCAAAAGGCAACCACTTTCTTTAAAAATGGATAATACTATTGTCAACCCCCAACAATTTCATGGGTCTCGAAGTGGAGGCCAGGAGTCATTCATTTAGAGCATGAAGAACTTTCCCTGCCTGGTAAGAAGGAAATCTTGATAGCATATTCTGTTCTGACTTGAATTATTTAAAGAACAGACCGTACTTTCAACACACACACACATGCATGCATGCACACACAAGGAAAAAAAAGAAATGAAAAAGTGTTCTGCACAACCGGCCATAAACCAAACTGAAGAGTATATGAAAAGATACCGATACTTCACAGTTTAGACTCACTGCAATTTAAAATATCAAATTACTCAGACTGAGAAATATCTGATTCTTTTAACCTCCTCAGATGCCTTGATGTAGATGATCAAGATGGATTTCAGTTATGAGATGAACCTAATGCTGAACTTAGACAATGTTCCTCGTGGTGTGGTTTGGTTTCACTTACGCTCCTCATTCAGGCTTTCAGCATACAGCTTTCTAAAAGTCAGTATAACCTCTAATACCTTCTCAAATAGCCACACTCTTATCCCTACATCTCCAGCTGCAACGTTTCCTTCTTAAATCAAGGTAAATATTATTCATTCTTCACTGGTGGGACATAAGCAAGAGTTATTTCATTAACAGAAATAAGTTTACCATTTTTCCTAGCTTCTCCCTTCATCTCTTCCCCGCAGCTTAAATGCATTTGTGGAACACAATACAGTCCCACAACCTGGAGTTATACCTTGCTTCCACTGTGCACCAGCTACTGGGCAAGTGTTCTTACTCTCTACACCTCAGCTTCTTCACCTGTACCTGACTCGCTTTCTGTGATATATGGCTCTGGCCCTGGCTTAGGAGTACTTCATGTGTCAGTATTATTTTTAGTAACAAGTTGGAAAAGAGTCTATGGATCAGTTTCTCCTGGTCTGTAGCTTACTCAAAAGAGGGGAACTTAACCCTTTCCTTGGCCTTTTGAGTGCCCAAGTAGCCATGAAAGTCAATAGAACTCCAAGAACGAACTACATTCCACACATCCAAAGGCTTCCCACTCCACCAGCACTCCTAAGGATCTTATCAACAGGAAACAAAAGCACTATACTACTATAATGAAGTGTCTGCCTTTTATTTTCTAATTTAAAAAGCCCAAAGATTGTAGCCCAGGGAACAGATAAATATTTAGAACGTTAAAGAAGTTACTAAGACCCGGTCCTCCACCTGTTACCCTGTTGTCTACCCTGTTCCTGGCCATTTCGGAAGAAAAAACTTGTGATGGCCAAATCCACAGCAATGGGGATGTATATACAGCTGTTAAAACCTCTCTTTCTTACGGTGCCGTCTGACCATTTGGTGCGGGTGGACAGGAGCTGCCTGTCTTTACAGATAAATGCTGCCCCCACAAGAAGCACCTAAACAAGAGGGACTCAGATTCCTTGACATTCAGGCGGCTTCAAGTCAAGGACTGGGTGCTACTCTTTCATGCTTCAAGAACTAACTTCCCTTTTTAAAGTACGAATTCTTTCAAATTGCCAGCAACCACTTTCATTTCTTGCAATCCAACCTACTCTGATTAAACACATGTTAGAGCAAGAAAAAAAGTGACTATTTTTGAGAGACAGAGGCAGTTAATTTTTGCCTACATATCTTGGCAGATGAAATGTACTGCATCCTTCAGAATTTAAATCATCAGCACTCTGCCAGGTCCCAATGGGCATTCCTTTTATTGCTCCATTTAATGGCTTTTTCCCCTCCTCTCATAAATCTTGAGGCTGCTTTAAGTCTGAGCCTTGGCCAAAAGTGATAGGCAGGACTGCCCCCTGGATCTCAAATGCTCCCCTAAAGCTCTCACAGAAGGCAGTGACAAATTTTGGACACTAAGCCCTAGAGTTTGATTTTCTTTTCTACTCCTAATCTCCATGGCTCTTTAGAGAGGACATAAAATACACTTAAAACAAAAACTCATTATTGACTACAGCTCTCAGGCTTCACACTCACCTGACCGAGGTCAGGCACTCTGTTGCCAAAACCCGCCAGCTGTGCGAATCCTGCTCCTCTGTAGTCTGCTCCTAAGTATTCAGAAAGAAAGAAAACTGAGTGTAAGACTACAAAGGCGGGCCCCTAACAGAAATGCTTCAAATTGCAAACTTCCCCCTTCTTTAGCCTCCTTCCTGTACAGACCCCCTCCTCCACGCTCTCCAAACAAGACAGGAAGGCTGGAGGGATCAGTTGGACAACGACTACAGGTATCTTTGCTTACTTATTTCCAGTATGTAACTGACAAGTGAGACTAGGCACGCAAAAGCTTGGAACGAGCTGGAACGAAGGGAAGTGTTTAGCAGATCCCAAAGCACTTGTTTCCCGGAGCCTAGGCCAAGTGTCTGGACCCCGCATCCTCATTGGGCGTGAGCTTCGTCCACACTTCATCCCTCACCGCTCCCCGGGTTTTCTTCCGTTTTTCAAAACCCTCCCCACTGGGGCCCCCCCACATGCATTTTTCTCTCAACCAGGCAGCTCGAGGGAGGGCTACTTTTAAAAGATTGTTTCCTTGAGCGGACTCACGTATGACACCCCCACATCCCCCCCCAAATAAAAACCATTTCCTGCAGCTGCTGCAACAGTTTCCAAGTTGGGGGAATGCCATTACAGTCCAGAATGGGTAGCCCTCAAGGCCAGTCACTGGAATCGGTAATTTTTTTTTTTTAGCCTCAAATGAACACCCCAAAATGCCCTCAGTTAAAAGAACCCCCAAACGTATGCAAGTGCATGCAAATCCACCAAGAACTCCCAGAGAGCGGGGCAAAAACTTCGGCGCCCGGGGAGGACAGTACCAACTCCCCGCGCCCTCTGCCCGGCCCCAGCCGCTACCTTGGTGCCCGGGAGCCACGCCGGTTTGGGGGAGCAGGGCGAGGAGAGGGGTTAGCAGCCGCTGGGTAATCCCATGTCCGCGAAGAGGGAGCTCGTTCCGTTAGGATGGAAACGGAACACCCACACCTCCTCTCTGCGTGCGCTTTCTCTCTCTCCACCCTCTGCCTCCTCCTCCTCCACCACCACCTCCTCCTCTCCTCCCACCCCAGCGAGCTTGAGGAAACGCTTCAGCAGCACAGCCACATGGTTACTGCACTTTGAAGCGGCTCCTGGCGGCTTATATAGGCCGGGAAGCTCCCTGGGCAATGTAGTCCGAGTCCGAGGTCGCGGCGGCGCCTGAGGCTGGGGGGAAGGACTACGAGTCCCAGAATCCCCTGGGCTCCGGGCAGGGCTCTAAATAGAAGCGCGCGGGGACGGGGAGGGGCGTCCTGCGGGGCGTCCGGGCTTCGAATCCGGCTTCTTGCAGAGAGCTGGTAGGGCTTGGAGCCGGCGACCCAAAGTCACCCCTGGGGGGCGCCCCCAACCCTTGGGGACACTCCTCCTCCGGCTGCCCCCCTTCCGGTGAATCCAGGTGTCTCTGGGAGAGGGGGGCGGGGTGCAGCCCGGATTTCTGCTTTGGGAAGTTTTTACAAGCTGTTACCCACCCTCCCCCCGCGCCTTCAGTCCCTGAGCCAAGAATTTCAGAAATCCAGGGCACAAAAACGCCAGTGTTTGCGGTCATGGATTAAAAGCGCGAGGTTGTCTTTATTTAATCTGCTCCGCCCTGCTCGGGTTTGCACAGAAAACTGACTCGGAGCGACGGTCCACGCTGGCGGGGACACAGGCAAGTGACTTGAGAGACCCTGAGCTGCGTGTGTCCTTCCTCGCCCCGCAGGAGGTAGAGAAACGCAAGCCTCTCCGATGCACAAATAAAGGAGCCGTGTTGTGACTTGCGGGCGCGGAGACTGGGAGGCACAAAGTAAATACAAACCGCGACCTAGGTCCTGACCCCGCTTCGGGCAGCCCCTCTGCTCCCCGGAGCTGTAAATGCTTAAGTAAATAAACCGCAAGCCAGAAAAATTAGGACTCTGGAGAGAGCCGCTCACACAATGATGCACGTCCAGTCGGGGCGCCCTCCCAGCAGCCCGAACAGCGGCGTCAGGGACGAGATGGGTTGCTGCCCACGGTCAAAAAGTGCCTGGGCTCTTGGGCTACAAGCTGTTTGGTTTTTGGAAGAAGGGCAAGGGTTAAGCTAGGAAGCAAAGTCCGTAGGCTGCTCTCCCTTCCTCAGTTGATAGGCATTCGTTCCACAAACGTTTCCTGAGTGTCTACTGGGTGCCAGGCGCTGGGGCATAGTGGTGAGCCAAAACACATCGCAGCATCCCAGACAGGCACTGCCTGGTGCGCCACATAGTAGTTACAACAACAATAGGAATAATAATAATTTGAGAGACTGAGTTTATTGAACCCAGACCACATGCACTTTTTATGCATCATGCTATTGAGTTTTAACAACCCTGGGCATATTTATTATCTCTGTTTGATAGATGAAGGCCTAAGGGCTCAGAGAAATCAGGTAATTTCCCAAGATGACACCGTGAATTAAGTAGTGCAGCCTGGATTCCAATTCCAGCCTATAAGGGTACTAAGTCCTTGTCTTCGGGGAAATCCATCACCACTGCCTTAACTGACCTCCTTCCCCATTTTAGGAGCGGCCTCTGAGCCTTTGGGCAAGTCATGTTCATCTCTTTGCCCCAGTTTTGCCATCTTGGAGGAAGTCATTAGAATTTGCCTGCTTTGTATCAGGGTTGCTTGATAGGGTCAACCATCTTGTGAAACTTCAGGAACAAATTAAGGGAGCACCACAGATAATAATTATTGGTATAATGCTAAAATTAATAATAATTACTGAGTACATGGCATGTGCCAGGCATTATTCTAAGCTCTTTATTTACGTTTTCTCATCAAATCCTATTAACATTTTTTTAATTTATAGGAAAACTGAGGCACAGAGAATTTAAGTAACATCCCCAAATTCACACAGGTGATGGGCTGTCTGACTCCTGAACCCTGGGCATTAACTACTATCTCCCACAGCCTCCCCAATGAAAACATATGCATTGTATTTACCTGCTCATATAAGTATTTAATACTAGTCCAGGAATGGGCAGCGCTCTGAAGTAGACAAAGTGTGTTCATTATATTCACTCTTGCCCCTCCTCTCTGTCAGCACTAGCCCCTTGTTCCTGGGCACTAAAGCTTCATGCTTAATGCTTCAAGCTACCACTCCCCATCATCAAGAAATACCCCCATCTTATAAAATAAAATAAAAAAAAAAAAGAAATACCCCCATCTTGTCACAACAAAAAGGTCCACACCAGGATGCCTTGGTGGCTCAGTGGGTTAAGTGTCTGCCTTTGGCTCAGGTCATGGTCCCAGGGTCCTGGGATCATCCCATATCAGGGCTTCTTGCTCAGCGGGGAGCCTGCTTCTCCCTCTGCCTGCTCTGCCTGCTGCTCCCCCTGCTTATGTTCTCTCCCTCTCCCTCTCTCTGACAAATAAATAAATAAAAATCTTTTTAAGAATTTTTTTAATTAAAAAAAAAGGTCCACACCCTTCCCATCTGTTTGTCCCCTTTCTTCTTTTCCCCTATGAAAAAAATTTGTTCTGTTTCTGAAGGGTTTTTGGCTCTACTTTCTCAAACAAATTCAACAAATCAGTCATTACTATTATAACCGGTAAATACTAAAGGATAATTATTTTATGTGCAGAAACAATGGAATTTTAATGTAGGTTTTCTGGGAAAACTTGATCTTGTTTGAGAGCTAGAATTCAGTGATTTTCATGCTTACCATACAATGGACACTTGACCCTTAACTGCTTTATCAAGTCTTTCCTCTCAGACCACAAGTTTCACTGAAGGCAAGAGTCATATTTTTTTCATGCTTGTATTGCCTCCTCCCCTACCCAGCAGACCTTAGCTCTCTGCACATTTTAGTGGATGTGTACCCCCCCAAAATTTGTAAACAAAAGCATTGGAATAGAATGTATGTCAGGCCTATGGCAGACTATCCAACAGTTTGCAACTGTCATTAGGTTCTGGGAGCTCCTGGGTCACTAGAAAGTAGTTTTGCTAAATTTGCTATGATGCTAAGAGGCTCTCTACAATGCTATATGATTGATGATTGATGATGAAGTATGTCATAATAAAGGCTCAATTCATTCTCTGTTATGAATAGAAAGAAGGGCACTTCTTTGTCTTAACTGTATTTTTTTCCTGGAAGATTTTTCCAGAACTGTGCTGCCAAATACAATAGCCACTAGCCATTTAGGCACTTCAGATATGGCTAGTTCTAACAGAAATGTGAAGTAGGTATAAAAGACAGGTCAAATTTCAAGGACATAGTACCAAAAAAAAAATATCTCAATTTTTATATTGATCACATACTGCAATGTTAACATTTTGGTTGTATTGTGTTAAATAAAATTAGATAATTAAAGTTAATTTTACGTGCTTTTTACTTTTTTAATGTACTACTGTGATATTAAAATTTTTATATTATATGCTATTGGGCAGTGCTGGTCCAGAAAACCAAGAATCTAATTCTCAAGATCCAATTCAAGATGACGACCGGCCCTGAAAATTGCCATTTATGACTTTGCCCTTGAAATGCCCATGCAGGGAAGTAGGAGGGCTTTGCAGAGTCAGGATAGTATCATAGACTGAGTGGAAGTCTGAAGAACGTCCAAAACTAGCACACCAGCCTACCCCCAGGGAAACCCTACAAATAGAAACAGGTTTTCATCAGCGGTGTACAGCTAAAAACTGCAACTAAACGAATCTTCCTAGAAGCCCACCGTCAAATGCCACCCTGATTAACACAGCAAAATACACCAGAGAAAGCAAGGATCAGAAAAAGTGAGTTTGACATTCAGCTGCTCCCTTAACATCCATGTAACTGTGGCCAGTCACCTAACCTTGCAGAGAATCAGGGTTTTTTTTTTTTTTGGTAGACTGAAGGCTGTAATCTTTGCCCTGCCAGCCTCACTGGATCAAAGTGTTGTTGGACATGAGAAGGCTTTGCAAGTAAAGCTGTACCAAAGTGAGAGAACATTATCAACAAGCTTGGAGAAAATGTTAAACGTGTCACAATATAGTACTCAGCTCCACACCAAACGTCAGATTATTGGGGCAGTGCTGGACCCAATTTTCTCCAAGACAAAAGATTTTATTTGCCTCTAAGTGCCCCAGTGAGCCTTGGATACTTAACAGCTTCTCCAAATCACTCTTAAATGGCAAGACAGAATGATTGACACTGAAGTCAGAGAATTCAATCTACTTTTTTTAAAGATTTTATTTATTTATATGAGAGAGAGAGAGCACAAGCAGGGGGAGGGGGAGAGGGAGAAGGAGAAACAGACTCCCCACCTAGCATGGGGGCTGACTCTGGGCTCGATCTATTGGCATTGATGCATTACCTCCATTTGCCATCGAACATGAGAACTATCGGTACAGAGAAAAAGCTACTACTATAGAGTCAGTCCTCCAACTATTCTCTCTTGGTCATTGTTAACTTTTTGTCGTGAAGGCATGGAGTCCCAGGTTCTTTGAGAATTGTATAAAACTCATGGACATTTGCCCCAGCACAACACAGATTCTCACAATTTTAGCTCCAGTTCTTGGAATTTCTCGCACCAACCCCCATAAACTCATTCACAGATACCCCTGGCAGACTAGACTATTATTCAGCCCCATCTTTGTGTGATATTGTCTCTCCAACCAGATAAACTTTTTGAAGATAGGGATCAAGTCCTATATTTGTGTACCCTTTGTAGCATCTAGTTCAGCTCTGGATACAGAATAGGTGCACAGCATTTACTGGCTTAATTCATTATTGGAACCACAAGAGTAGACAGAAGAAATCACCCACAGACACACAGAAACCCTGGATGAGATGGAAAAGTGCAGCTGGTGTTTGGACATGAACAGGAGAGAGACCAATTTGGCGTGGAACTAGGAAAATGAGATATTTTTCCTGAGCCCTGGTTCTGGACGTCCTGTGAAGCTAAAAGAGGGCATGAGAGGGGACGGGTCCTGTATTTGTTGTCCTGTGTCTGGAGTTTAGAAGAGATGGCCAATCAGTAAACTTGCACACGGTGGGGAGGGGGGTGTGGGAAGCATTGG